AAAAAAAAAAAAAAAATCCACGGCTTCCGCCTCGTTCCACCTCCGACTTCCGGCTACCCAACCGCTCGGCCTCCACACCGTTGCCCTCGACCCTCTCACTCTCGAAGACTCGGTGCCTCTCTGTGCCACTCTTCACTCTCGGTCTGGGTGTGCAATGCCACTTTGTTGCGTCTACTGTGCCTGACGAGCGGCCTTGAACCTGCTCACCTTCTTTGGTTTTGGATGCTGTTGCTCTTCCGTCTGCGATCCTCCGTCCTCGGCTCCAGCTGGCTCGTAGGTCTTCTCCGCTTGCCGACGCGGTGCAACCGAGGGCGGTGCAAGTCCCTGCTCGACCATTTCGCGGTTGTGGCGGTTCTCCTTCTCTCGACGCGCCTGGTCGGGATTGTTCTGCTTCCACTCGCGCCGCTCGAGCCGGCTGCGCATCACCATCTCGGCCTTTTCGTCGTCGTCGTCGCTGTCCGCACCGCCGAGCGCCACAGGGCCCGTCACACCGCCCTCGACAAGGTCGCCGTCCTTGGGGAAGCGCACAGGCGCAAGCTGCGGGATGAGCATCACCGGCCCTTTATCCGCGGGACCAGCGAAGCCGTCCATGCCAAATGCAGCCGACGCCGAGGCGGCGCCATCGGCAGCTCGGCCGTCGCCGAGGTTCTGCGCGGACGACAGCAGGTCCTCCAACTTCTGGGATGCCCCAGCCGCAGAGGCGGAGCGTTGCTGGAGGGACGCCTTGAAGCGCGAGATGCGCGAGCGGCCAGAGGCGTCGCTGACAGTGTTGCCTTGGTACTCGGGATCTTCCATCGCAGCATCGAGCGGCACCACGTCGTCCTCGTAGTCGTCGTCCGACTCGTCGGCCGGCAGCACTGCAGCGCTGCTGTTGCCAGCACCGCTCGAGCCGGGCATAGCCAGGCCCATGGCAGCGAGCTTGGCGCGCGCCTGCTCGTACTCCTTCATGAGGTCCGGATGCGACGCCAGCCCATCCGCGTCGCCGCCCATCGAAGGGGCCAGCGCCATGAGATCGTCCGCGTCGTAGTCGTACTCGTCCTCGTCATCGTCGAAGTCATCGTCCATGTCCCAGTCCTCTGCATCGTCGTCAAAGCCGTCGTCGTCGTCGTCGTCGTCGTCGTTGTCG